GGGGGGGGGGTGGGGGATTGAAACAAAATGACTGTTGGCTACTGCCAACGTTATTAAAGAAATTTTTTAAATTTTGTAAAATTTTATTTTAACCCTTACAATTTATGTTTATTTCAAAATTTATAGGGGATTTTAGTAATTATCTAAAGGCTAAAAATAAAAAAACTAAAAGGGTTTGGGCGGAGGAGGGCCCAATGGAGGGACCGGGCCCTCCTCGTTAGGCTTGGTCAGGTTTTGGAACCAGGCCTACTAGGACTGGGTTTTGGAACCAGGCCTACTAGGACCGGGTTTTGGAACCAGGCCTACTAGGACCGGGTTTTTGAACCCGGTCCCAAATGCCCAATTCTACTCTATTGGAATAAACATTTAATATTAATTAATAAATCCAATTTATTACAAAATTAACTGCTCAAACCAAAGACTACTTAGCTTATTAAAATCAATCAAAAGGAAGCTAAAACATAATCCAAAATTAAATTGTCAAGATTAAGCTAGCATCAATTAATTAATTAATCAATAATGTAACATATAAATATTGTACTCAAGTTCAGCATCTCCTGTGGCAAGATCATGTTTGTGAGTGCTAGCCTGAACATAACCTCTAGCAAATCGCAAAAGCCCACTACTTCTTACCATCGGCACCTCTCGAACGTTTGGAAACACCTTGTTCCTCCCTATAATTGTGATGGTGCTACCATTATATTTTCCTTCCACAAAAGCAAAATTCATAACCATTGACAAGCCAAATTCTTCTTGTGTAGCCCATGCATACATCCCTTGAGTCTTCCCCACCAATTTTGAGCTCAATTCTAGCCCTTCTGTCAAGGGATCATCAATCATGCTGATTGTACCAAATATTGTCAATGAATTTGAAGGCAGTGACACCACTCTCACAGCGGTTGGGTTGCTGCCACTATCGATGTCATGCCAATGCATGCAAAAATGGCTAAGTTTTCCATTTTTTAGGCCAAAGAGCTTTTGGTCTAGGGTTTTTGCATAGCCATAATTCTCTCCTGAGACGAAGTTTATTGTGAAAAATAAAATGAGGAAGAAAATGGCGATTTAGGAAGATGAAATTGGAAGAATTTTTGCAATGGCGACTCTAAGTTGTGACATTTTTTTACACAAGCTGATTAAGAATATTTATAGAGAGAAAACTATGAAGATATAGTAAAACCTCTCTATAGTGATACTCTATATATGAATAAACTCTAAACAGTTATAAAAAATTCTAGTCCCAATTTGGGATAATTATAAATAAGAATAAACTCCATATTGTAATAAGTTATAATTTTTCTAATTCTCGCTTTAAGTTTAGTTGCCTCTACATAATAATAATTATATGTATATTACAAAAAAATATATGTTATGTTACATTAAAGGTTTAAGATGAAATAAAATATTTATCTAAAGTTGTTTGGACAATGATTTATGTTTTAGAGTTGTTACCACATCTTTTACCTTGCGAGTACGTAATAACTCGCTAACATGGACATATTCCTGTTGAAGCCAAAATATTTTTAGCTTCTTAAGCATGTTTAGAACTTCATGGCACGAAACCTTTTGTATTTCCGTACTATCATCCTCATGATTATTTTCTTTCTCTTCTTATCTAATTGCAGCAATGATTTATTCTTTGGTTAAATTAGACACGATTTGTTGGTCATTTGGATGATCGAAGAAGACATTAATATCCATTCGATTAGTGTAGTGAAGTTGTCGAATCTGATCCCTCAATTCTACAATGACTCTTTTATTCTCCCCATCCATTTCATTTGTAACTTGCAATTCATCGACATTGGGGGTCCTAATTTTGTAATGCTTAAAACTATCGGCAATTGTATGTGGCTTCACATCAATTGACCATGCATCAACTACATTTACAATTTCATCAATGACACTTATCTTTGCTAGTTCCAAGATACGATCTTCTATCCGTTTCAAAAGTAGGCAATTAAAGCGCTGAATCGAAATCTTAAAACCACTAAAATATGAATTGAAATCCTAATACTATACTACTAAAACATGAATTATAAAATCAAAAATCAAACCAATAATTTTTGTAATTACACCTTTATTAAGTTATAACCTCCTCATAATAATAAAATTGGTTAGTTCTACCATTACGACTATAGATAGGTTTTACTGTATTAATATTGTTATTTAGGAAAACTAATTTTTGACGTTATGTCAAATATTAGGTTATTATTACATAGCAGATTTTATGCTAATTACATCCCTGATTATGTGGGATTGTGGCATTAAGGCATAATATGTGATTGCCTTTTATAGATTCCTACACTTGTATAAATAGTCTTTTTATACAGAACATAATACATAATACAAAATATAGAATTGATTATTTTTTTTTTTTTCTCTTCTCTCTTAGATAGTCTTTGGCAGATACTCTGCTTCTTTTGCTTCTTTCTTCTTCCAGTAATTCTTCTTCTTTAGCTTTTGACATAGTATCAAAGCACTCTTTTTAAGCTTCCACTCCATCAAAACCTCTCTTTTTTTTTCCCTTAAAAAAAAAAAAAAATCAAATAGAAACCTTGGTTAATTTTTCAATTTTTTTGCAAACAGATGGCAGACAATCAAATCACAAATTTCACACTTCCAAACCCCACAAAACAGCCTCCTCAAACACAACCTCCACCAAACCAAACAGGCCCAACCCCAACAAACCCCACCGTGGGTCAAACAAGCTCCATCCCACCAAATCAAATAGGCCCAAACCCAAACTAAACAGGCCCACTCCCAACCGGCCTAACCCTAATACAAAATCAAACAGGCCCAACCTTAATAAGCTCAAACCCATGACCCAACTTCTTCCCATACCTATTTGGTTATCTAAGTCCCACATCGGGTCAGGATTCCCAGTCGGGTTCAAATCCCTACCTGACCCAAATCCCCTTCAACTTCCACATGTTTCCAGTTGCCAACTGCCACCCTAAACAAGGCAACATACTATACGCACCGGCTTTCGATGGCCCTGACATCGTTCTCATCAAGCAAATCTTGACGAGATCTAAGAATTATGCCACTTGGGCAAGGGATTTTTGTTGTGCTTTCATCATAAAGGATAAAGAGAGCTTTATCGACGGCACCAACACCTAACCACCCATCGACGACTACCTCCATCGCCATTGAAACAGATGTAATATGCTTATTTGTGCTTGGATCGACAATTGCATCTCATCGGAGGTTGCTGCTGGCTTGCCACCCACTGATCTAGCAAGCAAAACATGAGCATACATCAAATAGATGTATGACAAGTTAGATCTTGCCCAGACTTTCACTCTCCAGTAAAGTCTCTCGGAAACCACACAAAACAACATGCCAATGATGACATATTTCAACAAACTCAGTTCCATTTGGAACGCCTTGGATGCTGTTGAAGAGACCCTTCTTGGGTCGCTGGAAACTCTCCGACAATATCATCGGATCTGAGACCAAGAGCGCTTGAGCAAGTTCTTGCTTGGCCTCAACGACAGCTACTTGTCTTTTCACACTTAGATGCTCGCATCCAATCCACCACCCTCTCTTCGTCGCACTTTCCAATTAGCAGTCCAAGAGGAAAGCCAACGGCAAGTTGTCGATGGTTCTCAGGAGGAGACACCTTGGCACTCACTGGCGCTCACACTCAAGCATCATAGCCTGACCATTCTCTCTCAACTAAAGTAGCTCTCCAACGGCTAGGGTTGCAAATGGTTGAAAATAATTTTTTATATGGGAAAATGGGTGGCTGAGATTCATTCAACTCATCCAACAGCTCACAATCAATCCAAGAGTCAACCGGGTCAAATAATGCTAATGGGCTTGGTCTTATTTCCTCCTTTAGTTCTTATGCCAGCCCAAACTCATCAAATGGGTCAAATGGATATCATAGGCCTGGGTCTTCATCAAATGGGTCAAATGGTTACCATGGGCCTGGATCTTCCAAACAAGGTAAGCGCAAATTTTATTGTGACTATTGCAAACGCCAAAATCACAATCAGGATCACTGTTGAAAGCTTCATGGGCACCCCACCAAGGACAAAAATGGAAACCCCTCAGTGCATCAAGTATCTAGCAATTCTTCAGGAGATCCTATCTCAGTGCTCTTGATCAGCCAAAAGCAATACACTGAGCTCCTACAAATGTTGAACAACACCCAAAGACATCAATGTCCTCCTACGCAGTACATCTTATTGTCTTAATCTTATTACAAATAATGTTTGGATAATTGATTTAGGAGTTACTAACCACATAATTTGCAATCCAAAATTTTTCCATACCCATACCATAAATACCACTAGCACTTCTGTTTGTATGCCAAATGGCAATATTGCCCCTGCCAACCACATAGGCATTGTTTATTTAACTGACCTTACTTTTACACAACCAAAGTGGTAGCGATTTTGTTTATCAAAGAAGTGGTCCGGTTACATGGGTTTCCCCGAAGCATTGTTTCAGATAGAGATAGAATTTTCATGAGCAACTTTTGGATTGAATTATTCAAACAGTCCGAAACCTAATTACACATGAGTTCAGCCTACCATCTGCAGACGGATGGTCAAACAGAAGTGGTAAACCGTTGCTTAGAGACATACCTCAGGTGCTTTGTCAATAGCCACCCGCAACAGTGGCCAAAATGGGTCCCATGGGCAAAATTTTGGTTCAACACCACTTATCATAGCTCCATGGGCATGTGTCCATTTAAGGCTCTTTATGGCCGTGAACCTCCAACAGTGTTACGCTATGCGGACCAGACTTCACCAGTTGAAGAAGTTGACTAGCAACTTCAGCAAAGAAACCACATTATTGAGGAGTTAAAGGCTAATCTTCTCAAGGCTCAAAACCGCATGAAAGTGTATGCTGATCGCCATCGCCATCGCCGAAAGGTTACATTTGAGGTAGGGGAATTTGTCTATTTGAAGTTACAACCATACAGATTATGCTCTTTAGCTCGTTGCTATAATGAAAAGTTGAGCCCACGGTTTTACGGTCCGTTTGTAATCATGGACAGAATTGGGGCCGTAGCATACAGGTTGGCACTACCTTCTTTAGCTCGTATTCACGACGTTTTTCATGTTTCACAATTGAAAAAAGCAACGTTCCCAATTCCCAATAGCCAACCTTTACCGGCAGCCCTCAACAAGGATTTAATTCTACAACTTGAACCTGAAGCAGTCCTTAAAAAAAGGAAACTTCTGAATGGACAGTGGGAGGTGCTGATTCACTGGAAAGGATTACCGTCCTATGAAAATACATGGGAGGATTTTGACATTATTCACCACCAATTTCCTTCTTTCCACCTTGAGGACAAGGTGGTTCTCCTTGGAGAGGGTAATGATGAACAACCAAGAGGGCTGGTATACCGTAGGAAGGGCAAGGGTAAAAAGTAGAGAAATAAGTGCTGACATTTGTGTGTAGAAGGTTAGAGTTTGTTAGAAAGGACAGATGACAGATGGCTTGACAGGAGTGGATATAGGAAGAATTCGGTTAGGAGCACAAAAGGTGCCAGGAGTGAATAAAAACAGAGAGGGGAGAGAAAGAATTATCAAGAAGGAAAAAGTAAATTGGAAGGGAGGCAGCTGAACCTCGAAGTCAGTATTTTGGGAGGTGACTGACCCTCGAAGTCAGCCTTTGGTTTACCATTTTTCTTAGTGTATTTGCTGTATTTTCCCAGTTTATTTGCTTATTGAGTACTGATAGGACAAGGCTACTGGAAGTATCTGTTCTGGTTGTAATGTTCTGTGTGGGTATTAATATAACTGGGTATTTTCTTATTGATTGTGAGTGTTGGTTGTGTGTTGTGGAATAGCTTGTTGGTATTGCTGGTTGCTTTTGCAGGACAGGTTCTATCATTGCCTAATATCTTTTGAAGGATTCATGTCTTCTTTACAATTTTATTGTGTAAGAATCCTGAAAATATGTTCATTTTCTACGCTGCAAATGTCGTTTGTTTGTTGTTGCAGCTCTCTTCAAACGAAGAGAAAGAAGCTGCTAGATTTGCTCAGTTGTGGAACAAAATAATCAGTAGTTTCAGAGAGGAAGATCTTATAAGGAATAGGTATGCGGCATGGCTTTGTAGAATATACTGGCTATATTAGAAAATGTCAATTCCTCTAATTGTTTATATGTTCTGTTTGTTCCTTGTTGTACTGAGCTTGGTACTTTAACCAATTTCAGGGAAATGGACTTGCTGCTTGTCCCATATTGGGCTGACCATGATTTGGACCTTATTCAGTGGCCTCCTTTTCTGCTTGCAAGCAAGGTTTGATTCACTTTGCTTTCCTTATAACATTTAGAACCTGCCAGCCCAGAAATTAACAATTGCATTTTCTTTGTAGACAAAAATTGCATTAGATATGGCCAAGGATAGTAATGGTGAGGATCAGGAGCTGAAGAAGAGAATTGGGACTGACCCTTACATGTCTTGTGCTGTTGAGCAATGCTATGCTTCATTTAGGAACATCATTATGTCCTTGGTTGAGGGGATCGTGAGAAAAAGTAAGTTCTGATGCAATGTACTTTGCTGAATTCTATATGTCAATATAGATGTCAGGTCAACTCTAGTATTTTCTAATGTAATTGTTTTTCTCTTGATGGTATTCAGGGTTATATAGTACATGTTTGGTGAAGTTGAAAAACTTATAGAAGAGGGTACATTAATTAGGGAATGCAAAAAGAGTGGCCTTCCTAGCCTCTATGAACACTTTGTGAAGCTAATCAAATATTTGGTAAATTGAAAATATATTGTAGCATTGTTATTTTTTTTAATTCAAGTTCAACTTTGTGTGATGGTCGTTCCTAAATCGATCATTCAGTTAGATAATAAACAAGAGGATAAAGATCAAGTTGAAATTACTTTCCAGGACATGCTGGAGGTGGTGTCAAGATATATACTGATGGAGGATCAAATACCCAGGTTGACATCTTGATTTGATAACCTCCTGATTTGATAACCTCCTCCAAGTGCATGTCCACTGTAACTCCTTTTTTACAGGTGGTGTCAAGAGTTATTTTTCTTGTCAAAAAATAATAGATCAAAGGTATCTAATCCTCAACGTTGTGTGATGTTATGTCATGTGTTGTGTGCATAGGAAATTTTTTTTTTTTTTTCATCAAAGTATTATTTGTAAAATATTATAAATTGCCACAACTTTTAGCCCATGACAATTGAAATCCATGGGATCATTAATTTTTTTTCTTTCCAATATTCAATTGAAGTGAATGGGAAACTTAACAACTTTTTGTGATAATTTCTCTTGTTGCCACATGTTGACAATTTTCATTGTCATATTATTATTATTTAGTGCTGTATTACCATCTTATAGTATAAGAATGTAGCTACTTGAAGTTTAGAACATATCTTGTGAACCATACATTAGACAGTTCAAACTTCCCACATTAATACCAGAACTTTATTGAGAAAAACTCATACAATGGCTTGATCGTATGGTGAAAATGTCCTCAGTTCCTCCCTAGTTAGTTATGCACTGCAGTTTTATTTATTACTTCATGCTTTCTCAAGTGTCACTTTTCTTGTAGTGTTTTAACTCCATACTACACGGAGGAGGTTCTTTTCTCTTTGAAAGAGCTGGAATCACCAAATGAAGATGGTGTTTCAATCCTCTTTTATTTGCAAAAGATATTTCCAGGTTTCTCCTTTGCTCCTATTATTTGTCTCGATGAACAAAAACTTTTACAGTGAGAGGTATAAATGTGTTTGCATCTGGTGGGGTTCATAATTATTTGCATCTGGTGGAGCTATAATGTTTCCTTGAAAAGTTTCTCCCGTTGTACTAATCTGTTGTTGGTTATTGATGAATGGAATAACTTTCTTGAGCGAGTAAAATGCCTTAGTGAAAAAGAACTTAAAGGATCTGATGAACTAGAAGAAGAGCTCCACCTCTGGGCATCATGTAGAGGCCAAACTTTGACTAGAACTGGTATTTTATCAGTCTCTCTGTGTGGTTGTGGGTCTGTTAGAGTGTGGATCTGTATCACACTAGATTGTAATTCTCTGCATTTTTGTCCCTTGCCTTGCAATTGACTGATACTTTTTTGTGAATTACAATGAGAGGTATGATGTACTATCTGAAAGCTTTGGAACTGCAGGCTTTTCTTGGTATGGCCCAACATGAAGGTAAATATTGTGTGTTAGAAAAATCAGTGCAATTGATTATTTGCTGCTCATAAGTAATGCTTGATTGTGTGTCTATTGTTGTTGTCAACCACTTCAACAATAAGGAGCGAGGCAAGCACATTTGAGGGTTGAGGGGGCAGCGCCCCCGGTTCTGTAGGCGGTTTGGGCCTATTCTATGAAGAGTCGCTGTAGGATTTCTCTAAGTAATTAAATTCTTAATTGGGTTTGGGCTTAGGAAAAATGATCCTAGTAATATTGAGTTTTTCTTTTTAAATCTAGTATATAAACTTATTTTTCTCTTGTATGAGTGTGATAGCAAACTATTGACAAATACATTCATTGTAACGAAAGAGGTGAAACATTATTCTAGTTTTCTTAATTGGGTTTGAGCTTAGGAAATAGAATCCTAGTAATATTGACTTTGCTGGACGTAACATGTTAATTAGATAAATCCGGATAAATCACGCGTGTTTTCTTTCTTGTTACTTGTTTGATATTTGTGTGTGTGTACTTGTTTAATTTCGTATTACTCTCTAGATTGGTTCATCTATTACAAAAGATTTCCAAGACACCTCTTTTTTCTTCATTTTCCATAACTGGATAGGGATTTTGAGTTGATGTGGTTTTGGGATACTGTAGTTTTTTCTCTTTTTTGGTGTTCATATACACAAGATTTCTTAGTTTTTTGTAAAGCTCAAAATTTGATAACAGTGGACACCTGGTCCACCTTTGTATCTCTTTTTTTTATAATATACTAGTGTTTCCTATAAAAAAAAAAGAATAAAGTAATGCTTGATTATGTGCATAGTTGTTTACATATAGATGCTTTTTCTCAATACAATAATCGTATATTATCATGTAATTTATGCTTGCATTATTTGGTTTGGATATCGTACCTTGAAGATTTGATGGAAGGCTATAAGGCAATCGAATTAAATGTGGATGATAACAAGGGGGAAAGATCATTGATGACGCAGTGTCAAGCTGTTCCTGATATGAAATTCACGTATGTCGTTTCATGCCAACAATACGGTATTCACAAGAGATCTGGTGATCATCGTGCACAGGACATTCTGAGGCTGATGATAACGTACGTGTGTGCAATTAATTTCTTGCTGAATCACTAATTGTAGTTAATTTGTACTGGTCTGTACAGTTTGGATTAGCAGACTGGTGGGCTCATCATAATGCATATGTCTGAGATTAAATTATTTGAAATCAATAATTTGAGTTAATTTTAATTGGTTGATTTATTTTACTTGGCAGGTATCCCTCACTTCGTGTAGCATACATTGATGAGGTTGAAAAATCTAGTGAAGACAGATAAAAAAAGATCAACCAGAAGATCTATTACTCTGTTTTGGTGAAGGCTGCACCAAAGTCAATTGATTCTCCAGATCCAATTCAAAGTTTGGACGAGGTAAAGCTCAATTTTATTTGGGTAGCCATGTGGCAAATTTGCTATGGCTTTTATCAATTGTGTAATCATTTTCTACAAGTAGGTCAGATTATCCATATCCATGTTGAAGCATTTACTTCCATGTGCATGGTTGGGAATTTTTCTTTTAACTGTTTATTATGTGTATTCCATAAAATTGATCCTATATTGGTGTATTTCTTTTTCGCTTTCTGGTTTTACACTAGCTTTAAGGATTTTGTTGGAGAACTGTTTTTGAAAATATTCCAATTGAACTCATTTTTCTTAAAATTTATTGTATCACCTTGCTTTTAAAAGCAAATAAATTATATTTAAATTCTATATTAAGCTGGCCCTTCGTTTTCCAGTTTATATTTTCTCAAGTTGTAAAAATTATCTGGACTATTTACATTCATAGCCAAATGCTGTTGTATGTTATTTTTTTTGCTGGCATTGAATTTTGAAGGGTAGGATCTGAAAGATTTTTTCCTGAAGACATCACTTTAATGTGCCCAGTGGTTCAAAATACTTTAAGGTTGACATATTTATCAATCTGTTCGGAATATGTATTTTGTTAGGAACTTTTTAGTATTTTTCCAAGAATCTCACTAAGTTATAATTTCCTTTTTCTTTATTGTTTATACTTTTTGTCAATTACTTATTTTTGGTTTAAATTTCATTGTCATAACATTTTCAATTCGTTCTTCTTGTTTCCGCTTACAGGAAATTTATCGTATAAAACATCCTGGACCTGCTATTTTGGGTGAGGGAAAGCCAGAAAATCAAAACATGCTATTATATTCACCCGTGGAGAAGGCTTGCAAATAATAGATATGAACCAGGTTTGGTGATAGTATAAAGGAATGTCATAATTACATCATGCCACAGCCATGTTCAGTTTGCTAAGGTGTTCATTTCTACAGGATAATTACATGGAAGAAGCCTTAAAAATGAGGAATTTGCTGCAAGAATTCCTTAAAAAGCATGATGGTGTGAGGTATCCGACCATTCTTGGACTTAGAGAGCATATATTTACTGGAAGGTTAAAAGCACTTTAATGACCCTGGATTTTATTTTGTAGTCTTATATAAATTATTTAATAATGCTTTTATTATTTGATGCAGTGTTTCTTCACTTGCTTGGTTCATGTCAAATCAGGAGACCAGTTTTATGACAATTGGTCAAAGACTGTTAGCCAACCCTCTGAAGTAAGTTATCATGTTTTGAATTCCTTGCTTCAAATCTTCTCTTTTTTTATGGTATTTGCATGTTTTCGCGGAGTATATATATGTGAAAATCAAAATTGGGAGAACTTATTTACATGAAAAGTTTGCAGTTAAGTTAAGATCCATAAACATACATATTTCACTTTTACGGGCAGCTTAGCAATATTGTGGGTTTTACAAAATTGAACTACTAGCTCCTCAGACTTACGACTTTCTTCATGGGGATGTTTTTATGAATATAACTTATGATGATATTTATGTGTGTGTTAAGTCGAATTTGTGTCCCCGCTCCGCACCAGGTCGAATCAAAAGCAGTGTTGAACTGTTATAACAATTGAAAATATTATGTAAGTAAGATGTTTATATATATTCATATTCATATACATATCAGGATATCGAAAGATCAACAAACAAACATGGTCTTACCGTCTTGGTGTAGCTGAAACGTTTTTCCAAGTATGTTTATAGCACAATTGGGTAAAACTTAATATAGCCGAATGCTTGGAAGTGATTACCACAAACCCTAGTATAAAACAATGTGTTTAAAAACTGAAAATTTTCAGAATGGGTATCGTTAAAGTAAATTTCATTTTCAGTTTTGAAGAGGAAAAAGATTAGCAAATGGAAGCTTTTACTTCAGCATTGAGTCTTCGATATTTTGAATGAATTGAATGGGTCACTGATGTTATGATCAATCTTGATGGCTGAAACATTTAATAATATTGCAATCAGATGATTCTGGGCATCTTTGTGGTCATCGCTTTCTTAATAAATATTTCTTTCTTTCGTTTTCTTTCCCTATGCTTGTCTAGGCTGATTGGCTATGTCCGCCCAGACTGGCTATGTCCTTGTTTCTGGTTATGGAGGGTGTTGATGCTCAGTTTAAGCACCAACGAATTCTCACGTGTGTATCGTTGATTGGCTGTTTAATACACATGAAAATGGAATATATAAAGCGAAATAAATGCAAAGGGAGTTTTTTAAGTGGTTCGGATGCTAAGGTAGCAAGTCCTACGTCCACTGATTTGTATTGATGTTAGTGTGGGTCAGGTCGCGGTTGCGGGCTGACTTACATAAGTTGAAAAAGTAAAAAATGTTTACAGGAGAGAGAGAGATTTCTTTGTATGAAAAATGGCCGAATCCCCTTAATGAAGGGGCCTTCCTCATTTTATATCAAACTGAAGCGTGTAATCATCATTAAATCCATGGTTTGGTGTGATTGTCAGGATATAATCTGGCTTTATGTCCCATTTTCCCTTTCCCAAGCTGACTTCGCACGACTTATTGCAGGGAAATGGACGCGTGTGGGCTCCATACCATTTGGCAGGTCTGACGTGTGGGTGTTGCTCTGACGGGAGCAGGTCACCCTTCACGTGACTTTCCCACGTCAGCCCTTTACTTTCCCAGGCATAACAGAGGGTTAGATTCCATTATGGTCATCCTGATGTGTTTGATAGGCTCTTTCACCTTACCAGAGGAGGTGTCAGTAAAGCATCCAAGGTTATCAATTTGACTGAAGACAGATTTGCTGGTATTCTGGTCTGTGGAACTTTTCTTTGTTTGCTTGTTTGTGTGGACGATGTTGAATAGTTGGATCTTAATGTGGTGTGATTTGGTTGTGTCTACTGCTTTCAATTCTACACTTCGAGAAGGCAATGTTACCCAACATGAATACATACAAGTCGGGAAGGGAAGGGATGTCGGCCTGAGTCAGATTTCTATGTTTGAATCTAAGATAGCTAATGGCAATGGGGAGCAGTCACTGAGTCGGGATATATATTGGCTTGGACACCGGTTTGATTTTTTCCGAATGTTGTCATGCTATTTCACTACCATTGGATTCTACTTTGGTATATTGCACATTTATTCTTTGTTTATTTTCACTTTTCTCAGGCTTGTTTCTGTTTGTAGTTTTCCAAGGTCCAATTAACATCTTTTTTTTCTTTTTTGACAGATAACTGTGCTCACTGTGTATGTGTTCCTGTATGGTCGTCTCTATCTTGTACTTAGTGTTGGAAATTCAGACTTAATTGAAATCCCAGGATTCTTGTATTTAGCAATAATTATAGGGATAGTAGTAATCATAGGGAGCAATTATAGAGATAGCAGTGATCTGATAGGACCACTCTAATAACTCAATAATTTAGGCTGGGTCATGGGTCTTTCATGGGCTTGGATAAAACTCTTCTTGAAAAATCGGCTTGCCAAGGGAAGGTGTCCAAGCCTTTATAACCCACATGTCCACCCTTTTCCCTTTCAATGTAGGATCTTAACATTCCATGACGCTTCTGCAACTGACGTCCATGTCGGCCTCTTTACCCTCATCAACCTCTTTACCCCTTGGGTGACTACGCGGATCCCCTTTCTTTCGGGCCTCCATGTCCTTTCTCGGGGTAGTAGCCCGGGCCCAAGGTCAGCTTGCCACGGGTCAGCCTGCCACGCATGCGTTGCCACATAGGCGCAAGATCATGCTCTGATACTAATTGATAGGAACCCACTCTAATAACTCAACAATTTTGGGCTGGGCCATGGGTCTTTTATGGGCTTGGGTAGAACTCTCCTTGGAAAACTGGCTTGCCAAGGGAGGGTGCCCAAGTCTTTATAACCCACATATCCACCATTTTCCTTTTCAATATGGGATTCTAACATAATCATAGGGATTATAATCAATGAGCCGTAAATTAGTAGTTAATTGTTTCATGATTTCTGGGGATTAACTACCTAGAATAACAATTCATTACTGTATAAATTTTTTTGTGTTCGATCATGTTTACTAAGAATTAAGAATTCCAGAATTCTCGTCATACTATCAAAGCTTTAGGCTCTTTTCTGGGATTAGAAATCTCATCCTACAGGCCCTCATTGCCAAGATCCTTTGTGCCCTGGTTATATCCTGTATTTTTCTCAATTCTTTTTCTGTTTAGCCTTCATTGCTAAAATATGTCTCCCACAATCGAGAAAACTACTACTTCCAGTCTGAAGCAGTGACTCTTAATCAAACAACAGGAGAACTACCGACTATTCAATCTGCTTATAGATTGAATGGAAAAAAATCATAAAAAGTGGTCTAAAGTGGTGCGGACCTTTCTAAAAGGGAAGGGGAAATTGAGTCATCTCCTTGGTACTGGACCTAAGAGGGGAGATCCTAAATTCGACACTTGGGATGAAGAGGACTCCATGGTCATGTCTTGGCTAGGGAATTCCATGCTACTAGAAATCAATGATACGTTTATGTTTTTGCCAACGTCTAAAGAAATATGGGAAGTAGCAAAAGAAACTTATTCTAAGGTAAGAGATTGTGCTCAAATCTATGAGATTAAAACTAAAATTTCTAGCATCAAACAAAGAGATTGCTCAGTCACAGAGTATGCCAATCTCTTGATGAATCTATGGCAAGAGATGGATCATTATCGATGCATTGATATGAGGTGCAACTGCGTTAAAGAATTTGATTGAAAAGGATCGAATTTATGATTTCCCCGTTGGTTTACATGTTGAGTTTGATTAGGTGAGAGTTCAAGTATTAGGAAAAGAAGATTTACCTTCATTGAATGAGACCATCTCTATCATCAATGCTAAAGAAAGTCGAAGGGGGATTATGCTTTACTCTCAACCAGTTGAAGGATCAACAATGTTTGGAAATCCAATGATCAGAACCTGAAGTTTATTAGTGAAAAGACATTTGCCTTCAATATTGCAAATTCATAAATTGGTAGAATAGAGTCTTGGTCCTCAAACAAGGATAATCTCTGGTGTAACTACTGCAAAAAGTCTTGCCATACCAAAGAGCAATGTTGGAAACTTCATGGAAAACCAAAAAGTTCTCAGTGGAATAAGGGTCCTAGAGGAGGAACACAGCGAAGCCAGACGAATATGACTCAATCCAAAGAGGATAGGTCACATGATTCCAGTGGTGAAGAGAAGCATGAATTTAACAAAGAAGACATTGGAGGGTTGAGGTCACTCCTTGATTCATTGCAAAAGTCTACACGTACCTATTCCCTAGCAAATTCAGGTAAACTTCATTCCTTATATGCTTTAAGTGCCTTTAGTTCAGATTTTTCAAATACCTGGGTTATTGACTCCGGGGCAACCAACCATATACCCGTTCTTCACACAAATTTCTCACATACCATCCCTGTTCTAGCAACCGAAAAGTATCTATCAGATGCATGATATATATTCCAATCAGCCTTTGCCGCTAAGGCGAATCACGACGATGCAGACGGTCGGGAATCTCGAAGAGATGATGTTTGATAGTGAGGTGGTACCATCTTCACTTGTTAATATTGTTCCGATTCTCTGTCTGGCTAATGAAGTTGAATCTAGTAACCTGAGGGCTGCTTGTCTATGTAAGTTCTTGTTATTAGATTTAGGGATTAATCAGATCGTATAGTTTGTTGCTAGAAGTATTTTTTGTTGAATCTGACCATATCTATCAATTTAACCTTTATTTTTTGTTTATTCAAAAATATCTTGTGCGTGTTTATGTATTAATAGTATTGTTTGAGCTCAAAAAAAATTTAAGCTATTAGGTTTGTTAAAATGTAACAATGATTGAACTCAACCTCAATGTGGACACATTACTAGAAAAACCCTCTTTCTTATGGGTAATAATTGTCAAGAAGGGGGTTTCTTGACAATTTTTCACCTGTTATTGAAGCCACTGTCAAGAAATGGTGGTGACCATTTTTGAACTGTCAAGAAATTCTTGACAGATCTCTTGAAAATTATAACTCATCGAGGATTTGGTTGAATTTTACCAATAGTTTTCGAACTATCAAGAGATTTTAACCAAAAAAATTAATTTAATAATAATAATCAAATTTTATTAATAATAATAATCAAATTTTATTAATAATAATTTTTCATCCTTGATAGTCTTAAAACTGTCAAGGAATTTCTTTTTTGTAATTTATTACCAATTAAATAATAGAATAATGCAATGAAATTTTTCATAATATTTCTCAACCAACAACAATTATCAAAATTCATAAATAAATTTAAACATTCAATAATCTTTGAACCATACTAATTAAGTAAACGAAATTCAACAATAGCAGTGTATCATTCAACAAAAGTTTCATACATATTTTTTTCCCTCGTCGACGCCTTGACATCAATAACTTAAAAAAGTTTGATATGTACAAATGAGAATGCTGAGACAAGTTAATATGGTAACTGTTAGGATTCTTTTTCAATTAGGATAGAATTAGGATTATTAGGTTAGATCCTTTTATAATAATGATACAATATTATCTAATTAGAATATCTTTAGAATTAGGTTATTATCTTTTGAATTGGGCAATTGGAGTCTTTTTAGAATTAGAATAATTTGTAAGGCTATATAAAGCCTAAAACTATTAAGGTTTGGTAGGCAATAATCAATAAAATTTTCTTCCCTTAAACTCTCAATTCTCATTCTTCTTGAAGGTTTTTTTCCTTATGTAAACAGAAATACTATCGTATCAGTAACATTTTTAACTAACCATGCATGAAAGGCTTAAGCAAATATGTACAAATTAAGTATTTAAGCGCCGATGATATGTTTGCTTGTGCATGCGCATTTTTTAATTGTTCTTCAAATTTCTCCTCTGTTATGGTATTAAACTTAAGTTGTAGTTAATTTACTATTCTTTTGGGAGGCGTGGAATTTTCATGTCGCGGTGGAGCCTTTCCCAACAGGCTCCAACACAACCACGCCGTGGCATAGCCTTTCCATGCCGCGACACAACTCCTGTCAACTCATTTTCTGGGTTTCTTTCCATCTCAACCACATTTCTCCATAACTTCCTCACTTCCCAACCATTTCCTTGCACCATTTCACTCCAATAACACTCACATGCATGCAATGCTTCACCCTAACACTCCATTCACAGAAAACAACACAAGGTGAGATCTACATGATCTCAAATCTTAAACTCAAAACCCATATCTCTCAACCAACCTTTCACTCTTCCGAAACCCACAAACAAACCAGCCCTTCCCAAAATTTGGCTGGATTTCCACTCAACAACACCAAATACACACACACATTACACCAACATTCAACACACATAAGATGGGCTTTCCAAACATGATTTAATGCAAGAATTATAATATTCTATTCACCACTGCATTTCTCTTAGCTTAGATACTCGGACCCTTGCTTCTCTTCACCTATTGTCCCCAAATAAACCTAAAATTAGAAATACTTAAAGAACAAGAAGAGAAAATGGAAGAAGTTAGTGTTTAGGATGAAATGCATGCATGAATTACACTTTATCATCTCAATACCCTTGATAAAGTGACTACGTGAATAAAGCTGTAATTGTCTGCAAATTTGGCATGGAAGACGACAAAACCATGATTTGGCATGTAAGACCACAAACCCACGACCAGTGGGCCTATATTTTGCACCTCCATGAAGTAATGTCCTTTCGTAATAGTGAGCCTTCGTTCCTAGAGAGAAAGTGAAAAAGGCTGGTGCCAATTGCAATAGAATAAAAAAAAGTTCACTTAGTATAGTCCATAAACCCCTCTTCAAGCCAATTTCCATCAACATAGGCAAGGATATCAAAAATCCAATTTAAACAAAAGATTGAGAAGCAAGGGCTACTTGAAGAGGCTTATTGTCTCGAATTGTTGGTTGAGTAGTCAACCCTTCTTAAAGACCACTAAGTACAAGATAGAAACAACCATACAAGAACACATATATAGTGAGCACAGTTACCCAAAAAGAGAAAAAAAGATGTTAGTATGGACCTTCAGAAAACTACAAACACAAACAAGCCCGAAAAAAGGTCAAAAAAAAAAAAAAAAGATTAAATGTGCAATATACCAGAGTACTGAAATAGAATCCAATGGTAGTGAAATAGTATGACAACATTCGAAAAAGTCGAACCGGCACCCAAGCCTGCTTATATTTCGACTCAGTGTCTGTTCCCCACTACCATTAGCTACCTTAGCTTCAAAAGTAGAAATCTGATTCAGGCAGACATCCCTTCCCTTCCCGACTTGTATGTATTCATGATGGGTAACATTGCCTTCTCGAAGGGTAGAATTGAAGCCTGCAGACACAACCAAATAACACATGTTACCATTCAGATCCAACTATCCAAGATCGTCCACACAAACATATGTTTTGTTCTC